TTTTTCTCCGGTACCGGGAACCGAACTCACGACCTTGCGCTTGCCAGGCAAGCGCTTTTGCCGCTGAGCTAAATCCCCAGCCCCTTGGCTTATACTATTATCTCTATGTTTTTGACATATTTAGTAAATATTTAATATTGACCTATATTTCTTTTTGTCTTTAGAAGATAGTTTCATGTTTAGTTTTCTTGGCAATGATTTGAAATCTTCTGCATTTTCTTTTGCTAGGTATAACCCGGAAAAATCCCCGAACACCTCTTTCTGATCTTCAGGGCATGAATACTCTAAATGAAAAAAATCAGCAGTAAGTTTGATTTATGTTTTTAAGGAAGTATAGTAGAACTAGCTAATAATCTTAAGTATTTTTGTGACTTTAAAACTATGAAAAAAGTCAGGTTTTTTCTTTTTATCCTTAAATCCTTTATGAACGATGTGGTAAGTTCATATGGTAGAGTTAACAGAACTTGCCTATGATTGCTTCTGGTACAATGGCTCTATAATTTGAAGGAGGTTCTCCAGAAGATACTATACTGTGACTGACTGACTGACTACTGACTAACTAACTAAATAAATCTTATGTTATTTTCATGGGAATTAAAAATAGCAGAAGATTTATTTATTTATTTAGTTAGGCAATCAGTCAGTCAGTCACTCTTTTTGAGACAGGGTCTCACTATGCCTCTCTAGGCTAGCCTTGAGCTCACTTTGTAGCCCAGGCTGGTTTCAAATTTGCAAGGTTCATTCTGCCTCACTCAGCCTGCCGAGTGCTGGGATTATAGGTGTGTGCCACTACGCCTGGCACAAAAGACTTACTTATAAAACAGTAACCTGTTAGCCAGTTGGCAGAATTAATGAAGTCGGAAATGCTGTAAAATTAATGTTCTTAACCTAAAAATAAAGTTTAAGTAAATAACAGCGATGCTGTCAGTTGTGATCTAGGTCTAAAATTTGATGTACTCTATATAAAAAAAAAGAGCATGTAACTATTCCTCCAGTGAGAGATAAAACTCATTAAGGAGTTATAAATGACTTTGTATTGAAATATAATTTGAGAGAAAGCATAGGAGCTATCCACCAGGAATGGTAGCACCCGCCTGTAATCCCAGTGCTTGGGAGGGTGAGGCAGGCAGTTTTGTTTTGTTTTTTTGTTCTTTTTTAATTTTGAAGAGAGTAGTAAAAAAAAAAAAAAAAAAGAATTAAAAAAAAAAAAGAACAATAGCAGCATACCAGCTTTTTTTTTTTGTACTGGGAATTGAACTCAGGACCTGGTGCTTGTGCCACTGAGCTACATCCCCAGCCCTGAGGCAGGCAAATTGCCGCAAATTCAAGGCCTGAACTACATTGCGAAACCTTATTTCTAAAAACAAAACAAGACAAAACACTGTGCATATCATAAAGCAGAAGTCGTAGATTATTGCAGTCTCTGAATCCCTCAATATGTCTTAACTGAAACATCTGCATCAACAACTGGAAATGCATGTGTTCCCGTGTGCAAGTAGCTGATGTGAAGGGGTAGGTGTAGAATGGAATGTGTGAAGAAAATAAACTGGTCTGTATTGGGAGAAAATGTCATGTATTCATTCATTTGTTTTTGTTGTTTTCTGTTTTTTTTTTGAGACAGTTTTGCTTTGTAATTCAGGATGGCCTTAAATTTACTATGTAGACCAATCTGGTCTCAAACTAGTGACAGTCCTCCTGCCTCAGCCTTCCAAGTGCTGAGATTACAGGCATGTGCCACCACTCTTGGCAAGAGAAAATGCCTTTTAAACTAGTATTGTGTATCATTAGAATTTATCAGCAGCAGCACATAATAAATTGTATAAAATTACATGGTGAGCTTTATAATTAAGTGGTGTCTGTCATGATATGCTAATCTTGAGGCATTGAGAAACACATATGTTTCATTAAAACTCTTGGGTTGTACTACCATTCTTTAGGAGTTAGTACATTATTGGTATCTACATATTAGTAGACTGTGAAAGGCCTATTCATTTAAGAATAAACTGCTACATGTTGTGGATTCTGATTTCTAGTGTTGATACATATAAAAAACACATGATTTGAGAGAAAGCATAGATGCTATGCAAATGAACAGTGATGCAGAAGTGGTAGACTCTTTGATGGTCCATTTCAGCGCACCTCTTCTTGTGGGTCTGGACAAGCTATTGTTTACCACCTGAGACATTGTGTTAATAAAATGCAACAGAGAGAACAGATTTAAATATTTTCTTTGAAGGTTTACAGTGGAGTAATGGATTGCTAAAATTGTTTCAGAAAGGACATATTTTATGTGGTTTATAAAAATGAGTGGAGGGCTGGCAATATAGCTCAGTGGCACGGGCGCCTGCCTAGCAAGTGCAAGGTCCTATGATTCCCAGTAACAAAACAAAACAAAACAAAACAAAACAAAACAAAACAAAACAAAACAAAACACAACCAGTGGATTTTAAGGTTATCTTTTAGAACCAGTGTGTCTTGATATCACATAATAGAGATTGGAGTGATTCCTTATATGTTATAGTTAGGAAACTCAGCAGGGACTGGTAACCTCTGTTTTCAGTATTGCTCTTGACTTCTGTAGTAATATTACTACCCTTACTTATGTATACTGGTGCCCAGTTCCAGGACTTTCTCTTTATCTCTTACGTGGGTAAAGAAGGAAAGTTAAAGCCTGGAGAAGCAGTATGCTTTCCATGTTACACAGATATATTGCTTTTGTTTCTAGTGTGTTAGCTTTTCATCTTTGGGACAAAATGCCTGACATACGCAGCTTATTTTTTGACTCATGGTTTCAGAGGTTTTAGTCTAACATGGGCTGGTTCCGAGGCAGATACATCTGTGGAGGAAGGGTATAGTAAAGGAAAACTCTTCTTTCTGTGGCAGCCAGGAAGCAGAGTGGGGTTGGGAGACAGGGGAGAGGAAAGAGGGGGAAAGCTAGAGTAAGGCCAGGGACCAGACATTGTCCCTAAGGTCACATCCCCATGACCCGTTCAGATATACCCGACAGTATCCTTTTCTTTTCTCCTAGTGTCTTTTAAGCCAATCAAGTTGGCATACAAGATTAACCATCTTTTTTTTTTTTTTTTTTTTTTTTTTTTTTTTTTTTTTTT